CTCAATACTGAGGATAATTTTTTTTTCTATAGAAACAGATAATCCTCGAAAACTTGACAATTTTTTTCCACGCTTATAGCTAAGATAGTCCACCCACAAATATTCTTTAAAAATCTACGCTTATAGCTTAGATAGTCCTCCCAAAAATATTCTTTAAAAATCCACGCCTAAAAATGCACGCTTACAGCTCAGATAGTCCTCCAAAAAGTACTCGTTAAAAATCCACGCTTATAACTCAGATGGTCCTCCTAAAAATATTTTTTAGAAATCCACGCTTATATCTCAGATGGTCCTCCTAAAAATATTCTTTAGAAATCCACGCTTATACCTCAGATGGTTCACGCTTACAGCTCAGATAGTCCTCCAAAAAGTACTCGTTAAAAATCCACGCTTATAACTCAGATGGTCCTCCTAAAAATATTTTTTAGAAATCCACGCTTATAAATCAGATGGTCCTCCTAAAAATATTTTTTAGAAATCCACGCTTATATCTCAGATGGTCCTCCTAAAAATATTCTTTAGAAATCCACGCTTATACCTCAGATGGTCCTCCTAAAAATATTCTTTAAAAATCCACGCTTATACCTAAGAGAATCCTCCAAAAATATTCTATAAAAATCCACACTTACAGCTCTAATAGTTCTCCCAAAAATATTTTTTAAAAATTCTCGCTTATACCTCAGATAGTCCTCCCAAAAATATTTTTTAATCAAAATCCACGTTAAATATTCTTTAAAAACCCAAAAATATTCTTTAAAAACCCACGCTTATACCTCAGAGAATCATTTTAAAAATATTCTTTAAAAATCAACGCTTATACCTCAAATGGTCCTCCCAAAAATATTCTTTAAAAATCCACGCCTATACCTCAGATAGTTCTCCTAAAAATATTCTTTAGAAATCTACGCTTATACCTCAGATGGGGTCCTCCTAAAAATATTCTTTAGAAATCCACGCTTATATTCAGATGGTCCTCCCAAAAATATTCTTTAAAAATGCTCGCTTATTGCTTAGATAGTTCTCCCAAAAATATTCTTTAACAATCCGGGCTTATACCTCAGATAATCCTCCTAAAAATATTCTTACAAAATCCACGCCTATACCTCAGATAATCCTCCTAAAAATATTCTTTAAAAATCCAGGCTTATACCTCAGAGAATCTTCCTAGAAATGTTCTTTAAAAATCCACGTTTATACCTCAGAGAATCATTCTAAAATATGAATTTTTATAAAGCCAATAGGCCCCTAAAAATATTCCATAAAAATCCAGGCTTAAAGATCAGATGGTTCTTCCAAAAATATTCTATAAAAATTCAAGCTGATAGCTTACATGGTCCTCCCAATAATCAGAGGGCCCTCTCAAAAGTTTTTTTTAATCAAACTTCAGTCTAAGGTATTTTCCTATACCAAAAAAAAATTATATCTTAGTTTTGTGGTATTTCCAATTATCTGTTAAAACAAACAAAAAATCTCCTCCTCACCTCTCATAATTCTTAAAAAATTGCATTGTCAGGACACATTGATTCAAAATAAATCCACATAAATTTTCATTCAGCTCCTTTTGGATTTTTGTCTCCAATTGTCGATTGAATTCGTCACGACGAAAATTATAACGCATTCGAATATCCGCACCACCCGTTGACAATTCATCACTACCGCGTAACCGAATTTTTGGGCTGGCGAACGATTCTTCTCTAGAAACCCGACGACGTGCACGTCCTGGTGAACCGTCACCATCAATGCTATTGCGATTTTTCTTCTTCGTTTTCTTTAACATTTTACGTTGACGTTTTGCCTGTTTCTTTTGCAGCCGGGCAATTTGTTTACGTTGCTTCTCCTGTTGCTTACGGGAACGTTCTCTTTGCGTTTCTTTATATTGTAACTCCTGTAGGGGATTATTGGGTTTCGGTAGAAATTTTGAACTAGAACGACCCATAATATTTATAACAAAAAATTTTCTTCCGTATTTTCTTTTTTTGTTATTTTTATCTTCGTTCGTTCGTCTCTTCGGAAACACGCACAACGTTGAACGGACAATTAAGAACTAAAACAGCAACTAGAAATCAGTATCAGATCGGAACTGATTGCTGCTATCAATCATCAGCACAGCACATATCTTTGCGGCTATCAAAGAATTGCTGTTTAGTTGTTGTCTGTCTCCCCCTTTCAACGTATGCATGCAGAACTTTCCACCTTTACTTTGCTGGAGGCAGGAAACTTCAGACCATTTCATTGTAGATCATTTCCTCCCCCCAAACTCCTCTGTGAGGCATATTTTTCTTATCAATATTCTTTTTTTATAATTTTTTATTTCACATTTCTTTTTTATATAAACAATTGAATTGTGAAAATAAGAATAACATATTTAATGTGTTATCTGATGGTAGTTGTTCTGACTGAGTGATTGATTACATGTCCCTTAGTCTGTCTGTCCGTATTGACAAAGAATTTACCTTGGAACATTTCATATTGTTTATCTTCTTATTTGAGGTTCTTCGCAGAGAAAGTCATTTTGTTGACATTGGCCAGTATTTTCTTTATGGGTGCCATTGAATATTTTTCTTGGTTGGACCTGTCATTTTATATATTTTTAAACCTTGAAACGGAGCTACAACATTGCAGATAACTGAACTTGATTTTATGCCTTTATATGTCAATAGAATTCAGTGTAAATAAAAAGCGCCATTAATCACTTAGTCAATACGAATGATTAAATTCAATTCTTAGTTAGCACAGGTCTGAGGATTTTTTCAAAAGAAAAAAAAATATATTTTTAATTGACGCTAATTGCTCGGTTGGTCCTCCCAAAAATACGTTTTTAATATCCACACTTGTAGCTTAAATGGTGCTCCTAAAAATATTCTGCAAAAATCTACTTTATAGCTCAAATGAACCTCCCAAAAATATGCTTTAATAATGAAGAAGGTATTCCCCAAAATATTCCTTTAAAACCCGAGCTTATTGTTCTGATGACCCTCGCAAAGATATTCTTAAAAAATCGAAACATTTAGCTCAAATGGTCCTCCCAAAAATATTTTTGAAAATCGACGGTCAGATTCTTCTATCAAAAATTCCACGTTCATGGCATAAGTAATATAAATTTTTTCTTGAGAAATCCATGCTCTTTGCTCAAACTGCCCTCTCAAAAATATGTTTTAAAAATGCATGTTTATTTATAGTCGAATATAGCTCTGATAGTCTTTCAAGCATATTTCTTAAAAAGAATTATTAAAAAATCCACAAATTTAGTTCATATTATTGTTCCGACAAAAAATGCATGCTTATAGTAAAGACGGTTCTCCCAAAAGCGTTCTTTTGACATCTGAGCCACGCTAATGGCTCAGATGTCAGTCCTCAAAATAACGTTTAAAAATTCACTCTTAAAGCCAAGATGTTCCTCCCAAAAATATTATTGAAAACTCCGAAATTATAGTTCTGATGGCCATCCCTAAAATATGGCCATGAAATCCACTCTTATAGCTCTGATGATCTCCCCTAAAATATGGCCATGAAATCCACTTTTATAGCTCAGATGATCCTCACAAAATTATTCTCCACAAATCCATGCTTATAGTTCGTATTCTCCTCCTAAAAATATTCTTTAAAAATCCACGCTTATACCTCAGATAGTCCTTCCAAAAATATTCTTTAAAAATCCACGCTTATACCTCAGATAGTCCTTCCAAAAATATTCTTTAAAAATCCACGCTTATACCTCAGATAGTCCTTCCAAAAATATTCTTTAAAAATCCACGCTTATACCTCAGATAGTCCTTCCAAAAATATTCTTTAAAAATCCACGCTTATACCTCAGATAGTCCTTCCAAAAATATTCTTTAAAAATCCACGCTTATACCTCAGATAGTCCTTCCAAAAATATTCTTTAAAAATCCAGGCTTGTAGATCAGATTATGCTCCCAAAAATATTCTTTAAAACCCCACGCTTATAGCTCTGATAGTCATTTCAAAAATATTCTTTAAAAATCTACGCGTATAGCTTAGATAGTCCTACCAAAAATATTCTTTAAAAATCCACGCTTATAACCCACATAGTCCTCCAAGAAATATTCTTTAAAAATTCACGCTTATACCTCAGATAGTCCTCCCAAAAATATTCTTTAAAAAATCAACACTTATAGCTCTGATGGTCCTACCTAAAATATTCTTTAAAACCCATGCTTTTATCGCAGATGGACCTCCCTAAAAATATTCTTCAAAAAATCCACGCTTATAGCTCAGATAGTCCTCCAAAAAATATTCTTTAAAAATCCACGCTTATAGTTCAGATAGTGCTCCCAAGAATATTCTTTGAATATACACGCTTATACTTCAAATAGTCCTGCCAAAAATATGGTTTAAAAATCCACGCTTATAGCTCAGATAGTCCTCCCAAAAAAATCCACGCTTATACCTTAGATAGTCCTCACAAAAATATTCTTTAAAATTCACGATTGTATCACAGATGATGATCCTAAAAGCATGCTTGAAAATCTATGCTTTTAGTGTAGATATTCCTCCCAAAAATATTCTTTAAATATCCCCGCTTAAAGCATAGATGGCACTTCCAAAAATATTCTTTTCATATTCACGTTTTTATCTCAGTCGATCTTCTCTGACATTTATTTTGAAATCCACGATTATTGCTCAGGTGTTTTTCCCCAAAAAAATATTGAAAACTCCAAGCTTATTCATCGAAAGGTCCTACCTAAAATATGCTTTAAAATATACATATATATCGAACTTCTCCTGATATATCAGGTCTAAAAAACGTTTCTATAGAAAACAAAAATCCTCTGGAAAATTTTTCTGTTAAAGGTCTACGATTGGTTGATATTTTTCAACCGAAAAATATCATACCCTACTGCTGATGATTTGTTCCTATAGAAAATCAGAAGTCTGCTCCGACTTTTTTTTTGTATTCAGACCTCAGTTCTGAACAATTTTTTATATATGAAAAAATCGAAACCTCAGTTCTTAACCCTGTTTTTTTTTCTTTTCAGGTTGAATGTGTCCAATGGACTTTCGATAAAAATGTAACCGATGATCTAAATGGCGAACTGATGCATTTGGCTGAATTCTTGTCGCAGAAACAATTTGATATGATTATCAATTTGCCCATGCGGGGAGGTGGAGCTAGAAGGTAATGAAACAAAAAACTCCTTTTTAAAAACGATTACTTACCCCCTCCCTTTCCTATATCTTTCCGCAGAGTATCGAGTTTCATGACTCACGGCTATCGTACCCGCCGTTTGGCTGTAGACTATTCAATTCCACTGGTAACAGATGTGAAATGTACTAAACTTTTGGTAGAATCTATGCGTGTGACGGGACGCAAGCCGGCCATGAAGACACACACAGATTGTATGACTTCGAGACGTATGGTAACCTTGCCCGGTTTCATTGATGTCCATACCCATTTGAGGGAACCTGGCGCCACACACAAGGAAGATTTTGCAAGTGGTACAGCAGCTGCGCTAGCTGGTGGTGTCACTATGGTCTGCGCCATGCCCAATACCAACCCCTCCGTGGTGGATCGCAATACCTTTACACTTTTCCAAGAATTGGCCAAGGCTGGAGCACGTTGTGATTATGCCCTGTTTGTGGGAGCTTCGGATAGCAACTGGCAACATGTCAATGAATTGGCTGCCCAGGCGGCCGGTTTGAAAATGTATTTGAATGATACCTTCAGTACGCTGAAAATGACCGATATGACCATTTGGGAGAAACATATGCAAAATTGGCCAAAGCGGGCACCTATTGTGTGTCATGCCGAAAAACAGACCATGGCGGCGGTTATTTTGATGGCACACCTCATGGATCGTTCGGTTCACATTTGCCATTTGGCACGTAAAGAAGAGATGATGATTGTTCGTGCTGCCAAGGAGAAGGGTATGAGGGTTACATGTGAGGTGTGTCCCCACCATCTGTTCCTGTCCACCAAGGATATCAATTCAATTGGCTCTGGACGGGCTGAAGTAAGACCGGTTCTGTGTTCCCCCGAAGATCAAAAAGCATTGTGGGATAATATGGAATATATCGATGTCTTCGCCACCGATCACGCTCCCCACACATGGGAGGAAAAGAATTCCGAAAAACCACCACCAGGTTTCCCTGGTTTGGAAACCATCTTACCTCTTCTATTGCAGGCAGTGGATGAGGGTCGTTTAACCCTGGATGATATTAAGAATAAATTCTATCGTAACCCGAAGAGAATTTTCAGTTTGCCGGAGCAGCCAAATACCTATGTAGAGGTGGATCTGGATGAGGAATGGGTGATATCCAAGGATTGTATGCATTCAAAGGCCAAGTGGACTCCCTTCCAGGGTATGAAAGTAAAGGGTAAGGTACATCGTGTGGTCTTACGCGGTGAGGTGGCCTTCATTGATGGTGAGGTTTTGGTCCAACCTGGCTTCGGACAAAATGTACGCAGTCAATATAATTTGAAACCAATGGATGCCTTGGAAATCAAGACATCGTATGATAATTTGGATACCATCAAAGTTTTGGATCGCAGTGCTGAATTTGTATCCGATTCGCAGACAAATGAAGCCTTCACAAAACTACTATCGGAGACCCCATCAAAGGTACATTTCTCTGGCGATCCTAGTTTCTTGCGTCCCATTTCACCATTGCCACGTGTGCGTTGTGATTCAGCTAGTAATGCCACTCTGAAGGAGTTGATACAAAGAACTTCGTCTGCAAGTGCTCCCATTTCGCCGGTGGCACCCACACTACTCGGACGTCATGTCCTCTCTGTGGATATGTTTAGCAAGGAACAGTTGAATGATATTTTCAATTTGGCTCAAATGTTAAAGAGTCGTGTGGTCAAGGATCGTCCCGTTGACGATTTGCTGAAAGGTAAAATTATGGCTTCTGTTTTCTATGAGGTTAGTACCCGCACCTCATGCAGTTTTGCTGCTGCTATGCAACGTTTGGGTGGTCGTGTCATCTATATGGATCAGACAAGTTCCTCGGTGAAAAAGGGTGAAACGTTGGAGGATAGTATTGCCGTTATGGCTGGTTATTCAGACGTTGTGGTCCTTCGGCATCCAGAACCAGGTGCAGTGGCGGTAAGTTCTCAATACTTTTTTTAAATTTTTTAAGCAATATAAAATAATGGTCCTTCTTTTTTCCCTTAGCGTGCCGCCCAACATTCCCGCAAACCTTTGATCAATGCCGGTGATGGTGTTGGCGAACATCCCACCCAGGCTTTGTTGGATATTTTTACAATCCGTGAGGAAATTGGTACTGTTAACGGTCTCACCATTACCATGGTTGGTGATTTGAAACATGGCCGCACTGTGCATTCCTTGGCTCGCCTATTGACCTTGTATAATGTCACCATACAATATGTCAGTCCAGATAATTTGGGTATGCCCGATCACATCGTCCGTTATCTAAATTCGAAGGGTATTAGCCAGAAAACTATGCAAAGTTTGGAAGAAGCACTACCCACCACCGATGTTTTGTATATGACACGCATTCAGAAAGAACGTTTCGCCAGCGACGAGGAATATGAAATGGTAGGTGTTGCGAACAGACAAAAAATGTGTTGCCTATAAAAAGGCGTTTCCGTCTTCTATTGTCCATAAAAGATTTAGTGGTCTTCTATGCCCATAGAAGACATTCACATCTTCTATTGGCTATATAAGACCTAGAAGTTTTTTATTGTCTATATAAGACCCATAGGTGTTCTATTTTCTATAGAAGACCTATAGGTCCTCTATAATCTATAGAAGATCTATAGGTACTCTATTGTCTGCAGAAGACATATAGATCCTCTAGTGTCAATAGAAGATCTATAGGTCCCCTATGGTCTATAAAAGACCTATAAGTCCTCTAGGGTCTATTGGGACAAATAAAAAAAGAAGACCTATAGGTCCTCTAGGGTCTATAGAAGATCTATAGGTCCTCTATGGTCTATAGAAGACCTATAGGTCCTCTATGGTCTATAGAAGACCTAAAGGTCCTCTATGGTCTTTAAAAGATCTGTAGGTCGTCTATGGTCTATAGAAGACCTATATGTCCTCTATTGTCTATAGAAGACCTATATGTCCTCTACGGTCTATAGGAGACCTATGGGTCCTAAATTGTCAATAGAACTTTTATAGACCCTCTATTTCCTATAGAACTTCTATATGGTTTATAGAAGACCTATAGGTCATCTATGGGTTTCAGGAGGCCTATAGGTCGTCTATAGTCTATAGAAGACATATATACCCTAGAAGAAAACTTAATGCCTGAAGAAGATCAAAAGGTCTTCTATTGTCTATGGAAGGCCAAGAAGGTTTATTTGGTCTATAGATGACTTAGAGGTCTAAAAGTTCGAAGACCTCCAATTGCCTATAGAATCCCAAGAGGTTTTTCTGTTGATTATAAGAGAGGACATTTATTTTTTTTTTTAATTTAAAAATATTTTTAATTAAGTTTTAAAATTTTCTAATTATTATTTTTTTTCAGTGCTGCGGCAAATTCATTGTCACACCCAAACTAATGACCCGTGCCAGTCGCCGTACCATTGTTATGCATCCGCTGCCCAGAGTTTTTGAAATTAGCAAAGATTTCGATTCGGATCCTAGAGCTGCATATTTCCGTCAAGCTGAATATGGAATGTATATTCGTATGGCGCTGTTGGCCATGGTTTGTGGTTGTCGTAATTGATATGAAAAACTAGAAGTTGAATATTGAACACTGGCATCAAACAAACGGTTATCAAATTTCCGTTCAACCATTGAAATAACAGAAACAACATCAAACACCCCAAAAACACTTTACAAAAGTAATCTCCCGGGGTGTTTTGAGGGACAAAACAACGCATTTGTTATTTTATTATTTTTTATATCTCTACATTTTTTATATCTAACTATAAATATAAGTTATAACATATATTGAAATAATCTACTACTATATTACATTTGATACATACACCCATATTTGTAATGTTTTTAATTAAAAGAAGAAGAAGAAAAAGAGTTCAAATATACAAACGTTTAACTCGTCAAATTCAAAAATATGCGTATTTTTCTTTTTTATTTGGTGGTAGATCTAGGATGGGTTACATTTAGCGCCTGAAAGTATGCTTTGAAGCCTAAATAATTACTCAAAAGAGTGATTGTACAGTATATGTCAGTTGTATTTGTTCAGTATATTCTGTATTTCTGTTTGTACAGTTCAGCTGAGAACCAAACCCCTTGCTACACGATTCTGTTGGCCTGGTATTTCAGTGAATTTTTAGAGTTTTGCCCAAAATTGAAAATGAAAAAACAAATCCGCCACCAAGCACCGCAGTGAAACGAGAAACGTACCCGAGCATGCTTGTAGATATAAAATAATAAATACCTAGAGGTGTCATGCTATTCGCCTTCTACAAATGGCGGATTTTTTAAAAATTATTTTTTCAAGCCTTACAAGATGCGTGGAGTTTTTAAAGAAGATTTTTTCAAGGCTTACAATAGGCGTGGATTTTTTAAAGAATATTTTTTCATGGTTTAGAAGAGAGAGATTTATAAACATTATTTTTTTAAATATATCCATTTTATATAACTTTTATTTTTGTATGTGTATTTTCTTAATTTAAAAAATATATTCTCTGGTATGGTTAGTATTTTTTTACAACCAAATTACATTACTAAAATATTAGAGAGTGCATTCTATTTCTATCTACATTCATATATATTCTCTATATAAAGACTACTGGTGTTATATATTATAATAATATAAAAATAATAATAATAACAAATATACTTTTGCATTTTGTGATTTATGGTTCCCTATAATAAAAAAAACAACTTAATATCTAAGACGAAATCATCAGACGTCAACCTGCAATCGCCTTACGTTCCGTTCAGTCTTCTCGTTTACAATTTTCAATATATATATATTTTTTTTTTTTGATAAAAAAATACAGAAAAAACAAAAGCAACAAAAATTGCATTTCGTTTTCTCAGCTCCAGCAATAGCCTATCTTACAATACTCCTTCGCTTCCTTCTCCCCGAATTCCGGCTGGCGATTAATAACGTTCAATTTCTATGGTGGTCTCATGCTGGGTCTTCATCACCTCATCCTGCCAATGGGTTCGCTTCTGCTTCTTGCCCATTTCCAAATTACCCTGCAAGCTAAGTTCACTCGATTCAAAGGCCTTGTTGAGATTACTTTGCAGATTTCCACATTTGTGGATGATGGGCGTGGAAACGGAACGTCCAGTTTTGCAAATACCGCCACCATCAATGCGGCAGCTACTCTCCACTTTGCCATTGCATTCATAAATCGTGGCAATGGATGAACATTTGCTATGGCCATCGATTATTAGATCACCATCACTGAGAGTGGATGATCGTTTGCCTGAGGCGCCACTGGTGGATCCCGTTTCAGAGCATTTATCACATTCATGTTTCCTAAAGGGAAAGAGAGAGAGAGAGAGAGAGAGAGAGTGAAATATGTTAAAAAATTGTACGAAGTGAATGAGAATTACGGCGCAGAACTTACTTATTGGATTTCTTACAGGCCACCAAAAAGATCAGAACTGTTAGAATAACCACGGCCGCCAGGACTCCAGAGAGTCCGGCAATCATGGTCATCATGCCATGGGGTTCGCCATCCGAAGTAACTTTGGTAACTGTAAAGAAAAAAAAATAATTTTTTTTAATATTTTTTCAAGTATTCAAGAAAATATTTTTCAAGGGTTCATCAAAGGTATGGATTTTTTGAAGAATATTTTTTCAAGGCTTACAATAGGCGTGGATTTTTTAAAGTAGAGTTTTTCAAGGCTTACAATAGGCGTGGATTTTTTAAAGTACAATAGGCGTGGATTTTTTAAAGTAGAGTTTTTCAAGGCTTACAATAGGCGTGGATTTTTTAAAGTAGAGTTTTTCAAGGCTTACAATAGGCGTGGATTTTTTAAAGTACAATAGGCGTGGATTTTTTAAAGTAGAGTTTTTCAAGGCTTACAATAGGCGTGGATTTTTTAAAGTAGAGTTTTTCAAGGCTTACAATAGGCGTGGATTTTTTAAAGTAGAGTTTTTCAAGGCTTACAATAGGCGTGGATTTTTTAAAGTAGAGTTTTTCAAGGCTTACAATAGGCGTGGATTTTTTAAAGTAGAGTTTTTCAAGGCTTACAATAGGCGTGGATTTTTTAAAGTAGAGTTTTTCAAGGCTTACAATAGGCGTGGATTTTTTAAAGTAGAGTTTTTCAAGGCTTACAAAATGCTTGGAAACTCCCTATTTATGGGCAAATTAAAATATCAAATTAATTTAATTTGCAATAAATTGTAAATAAATATTTAAAACAATTATCCCTATAATCGATTTTGAAACAATTGTTCGGCCAGTCAGCAGTCATCATCATCGTCGTCAGCTACCTTGATTTGCACACACACATTCTGCTGTGCATATATTTAAGCTACTGTCTGTCACAACATGTGACATTTTTGACATGCCTAATAGATATAGCTGAGAGAGAGCAACAAAATAACGAAAACAAAACATTTGAACCTGTCTTGGCATTGTTGCACTGCTCAAACTTGAACAAGTGTCAAGTTGAAGTTCAAAACGGCAGCTGTCTGTCTGGTGGCAAATAAAAACCGCAGCTAATCCGACAAATTGCCTTTGAATGGGTTTGCTGGCTGGGTGGTTGACTGACGGGCTGCTTAACAAAAGTAGTGACGGTGTGGGGTGACTAGACAAGATTCATGCATCCGTCCGTCCGTTACAACAGCATACAACAACAGTAAATGCTGTAATAAATATCCAGCGCGGTTGCTGCTGCCTCAACTTATTTTGCAATTTAAAAGCTTCGCCAACGCTACAAACTATCAAAAACATTATCTATTAACAGTTTTTTTTTCGCAATTATTGTTGTTGTGGGATTTTTTCATTTATAATTGTTCAACGAAATCGTGTATTTTAAATAATTTATCGTTCAACGACTTCGTAGCAAATACCGCTATGAATAACATAGATGGATTGAATTATTCGGATGGGATTTTAAGGGGATAATATAATAAAAATTCAATTAAAAACATTTTTTTAAATCCACGCCACTTGTAAGCCTTAAAAAATATTCTTTAAACCAGTAAGGAAAATAGTAAAGTCGGACTGGGCCGACTATATGATTCACCTTCACCACTTTGGGTATATTGTACGTATGTATCCTTACAATTACATGGCAAAGTTTCTCGAAGAAACATACTCCTGTCTTTCCTATGATACATTTAATTTTATTCGGCTAGATTTAGAGTCGTCTTCTTACCATGGGTCAAGTTTATATAAAACGATTTATAGCAAAATTGATGTTAAAAATTTAATTTTAATCAAAATTCGAAAAACATATAGAAGCTATGGCTGCATCTGCACTAATTTGAATAAAACGCAATAAAATCATGCTCAAGTCTCAATTTGATACATTGTGCAAAATTTCGTATTAATCGGACAAACATTGGGAGTTTGGTCCACCATTTATGTAAAATCGGTATATGGGGGCTATATCGAAATCTGAATCGATTTTTCCGAAACTTATCACACATCATTCTAGACTCAATTCAGTACGCTATGTCAAATTTCGTGCAAATCGAAGGATATATAGGGACTTTGGTGCATTATTTACTTAAAATCGGACGAAAATATATGGGAGCTATATCTTATGCTGAACCGATTTTCACGAAATTTAACACACAAAGGATTTTGGTGCACCATTTACATAAAATCGGCCGAAAATATATATGGGAGCTCTATCTGTATCTGAATCGATTTTACGAAACTTGGTACACATCATTCTGGACCTAATTCAGTACCCTGTGAAAAATTCCATGCAAATCGAAAGATATATAGGGACTTTGGTGCACCATTTACATAAAATCGGACGAAACTATATACAGGAGCTAAATTTGATCCGATTTTCTTCAATTTCAATAGGGTTCGTCCTTGGGCCAAATAAGTGACTTGTGCCAAATTTCATTCAATTCGGATAATAAATGCAACCTGCACTTTGTTTAGAATTTAACATGGACAGAGGGACGGACAGTCTGTCCATACATATTCTTAAAATGAACCATGGGTCTATCTCGTTTACTTTAGCCTGTTACAAACATATGCACAAAGACATAAGACCATGTACAACAGTGTGGTAAAGGGTATAAAAACACGCCTATTGTAAACCTTGGAAAAACATTCTTTAAAAAATCTAAGCCTAAATTAGGGTTAAAAAAATTATTTAAAAAACCCACGTTTATTTTAGAGCTCAAAAAATATTTAAAAAGTCCACGCCTATTGCAGGTCTCAAAAAAAATATTTAAAAAATTCGCCATTTTAAAAATTAAATTGTAGGCCTCAAAAAATATTTGTAAAAATCTACGCCTATTTTAGGGCTCAAAAAATATTTGTAAAGATATCCACGCCTATTGTAGGGCTCAAAATGTAATATCCGCGCCTATTGTAGGTCTCAAAAAAATTATTTAAAAAATCCACGTCTATTATAGATCTAAAAAGTATATATTTAAAAAAACCCACGCCTATTGGTAGCCTTTTGAAAAATAATAAAAAAATAATTTCTGAAACCACAAAATGAAATATAAAAAATTATTTTAACGATGAGTAGTAGACTTTGCACATTTCCGTGTCTCACTATTTTTTTTTCAGGCGGAACATATTTGTTTGTAGTTGTTGTATTTTTTGTTTGCTGTTTTGGATAATTGCATTCATGTAATGTTGGCGTACACACCCCTTTACAATGTGAATGTAAGAGTATTGAAAATTTTGTCGGACGTCATAAGCCGCCGGCATGCGACATCAATTTTTATTTAATTACAACAAACGAATGTGCAATTTGTTGACAAATATATTTTTTGGGATTTGAAATTACGTACGAATGTAGATATATAATCAATTGTTACAGACTTTTGCCGCCTATATTTATTTGAGGTTGGGATGTATACCCCAAAGTAGTTACGATAATTGTTATTTGATCGGATCCACGTAATGAGAACGTCGATGATAGAATTGCACATTTGAATATTTTTTCTAAATAAAAAAATAAAAAACAATTGAAGAAACATTTGTTTCTAATTTGTTTAGTTGTTTTCAATTTACACAAAACATGTTTTGCAAAATTTACTTTTCTTCACAAAAAAAACCCCGACGCCGCACCTCTCTGGGTATGACGTATTTCGAGATTTTTCTTTATATGTATGGCGGGGGGCCACACAACATCTGGCGGTGTTTTTGGTCTGGTCAACAACAACATCAATCTATTTATTTTTGTTGTTGTTCTTGTTGTTTCTATTTTTATTTATTTGGTGCAACAATTTATTATTTATTTTTGTAAACATTCAATTGTTTTTTATGCGTTCAAAATATTTTTTTATTATTGTTGTTTGTTTTTGCAATTGTAATTGTTTTGAAAGTTGTTTTTAATTTATTGTGCGTTTTGGTGTTCGTTGTGATTTTGTTTTTTTTTTTCGAGCATTTCAAACAAATCGGATATCTGGCCGCCATATAAGCTGAACTTGTGTAGTTTTGTGTGTCTTGTTCAAGGTTATTTCAGCAATGCCGACGCATTTCCGATACACAAACATTGGCATCTGGAAATGTGCAAGCCTGGGAATTTTTTTTCGAAATTTTTCGAGAAAGTTACCTTGACGACCTTACGTATTTAATTATTGGGTTAAATAGATTGATTTAATTTTAAACGTATTATGGTCGTAAGTGATTTGTTTACCGGGTTTTATGTGATTTTTTTATTTTTAAATATCACTAGGAAACTGGTTAGGGGGTGTGGTATTCAATATTCTTTTGATAATGATAGCTAATTACAGGTCATTTGTCTTACACTCTGTGTTTTTTGCAATAATGTCAAATGACGGAAATTATTTGAAATGTTTCCCGAATTAAGTCTTGTCAAACACAATATCCGTTAAATGATATACAAAATAACAAACAAGCGAATTTAGAGGAGAGACATTTTTTAAATACATTTTTAATGGAGTGGATTTTTTAATGAATATTTTTTCAAGGGTTCAACATAGGCGTGGATTTTATAAAGAATATCTTTTCAGGAGTAACAATAGAAGGAGACTGCCAAAGTGGGTCTGGCAGTAAATGGCGAAAAGTCAAGCTGATGGTATCAACTCGCAAGACGTCCAGTATACTCGGACCAACTGTGGAACTTGAGAACTACAGCTTCGAGGTAGTCAAAGATTTTGTATACCTTGGTACCGCCATAAATAAAACGAATGACATCAGTTTTGAAATTCGGAGAAGGATAGTGATGGCCAACCGATGCTACTATGGTCTGAGCAAACAACTCAAAAGTAAGGCCACATCCCACCAGACCAAACTCACACTTTACAAGACGTTGATACTGCCCGTGCTGTTATATGGATCTGAAGCATGGGTACTTACGCAAGGAGGTGGGGCAGCTCTTGGAGTGTTTGAAAGAAAAATTCTCCAGTAGTGTTTGGCGGGTTATTTGGGATACCATTTATTTTTTGTTTTTGCAATGTTGTTTTTTATAAAAACAAGAAACTGGGATTAAGCCTGTCTATTTTGAAAACAAAAAGAAAAATTCTCCGAAAGATCTATGGGCCGATCTGCGTTGACGGTGAATATCGCCGTCGAATGAACCATGACTTGTACCAGCTATTCTCGGACATCGACATTGTTAGATGTATTGAGCTGCAGCGACTACGTTGGCTACGTCATGTTGTGAGAATGGATGAAGATGCCCCAGCCCAGAAGACATCTAAACGCGAACCAGCTGATGGTTCACGCAGAAGGGGAAGGCCATGAATACGATGGAAAGATCAAGTCGTAGACAACATTGCCGAAAATGGCCTTTAAAGTGGGAAAAACTGCGCAAAAGACCGACGCGCCTGGAAATCTTTTTTAAGTTCGGCTTATGGAACGAAAGTTCTGTCACAAGGCAGCTAAGTAAGTAATAACAATAGGCGTGGATTTTTCAAAGAATCTTTTTTTCAAGGTTTCAAAATAAGCGTGGATTTTTCAAAGAATCTTTTTTCAAGGTTTCAAAATAGGCGTGGATTTTTTAAAGAATATTTTTTCAAGGGTTCAATATAGGCGTGGATCTTTTAAAGAATATTTTTTCAAGGGTTCAACATAGACTTGGATCTTTTAAAGCATATTTTCCAAGGGTTCAACATAGGCTTGGATCTTTTAAAGCATATTTTTCCAATTGTTACAATAGGCGGGATTTTTAAGCATATTTTTCCAAGGAGTAGATTTTTTTAAGTATCAACAAAAGGCTAGGATTTTCAAAGAATATTTTTCAAGGATCATAAAAAGGCGGGGATTTTTATTTTTCAAGGATCATCAAAAGACGTTAACTTCAAGGGTAAAAATAGGAGTGGATTTTTTAAAGAATACTTTTTCAAAGACCAACAAAGTCTAGAATAAAGGTGGATTTTTTAAAGATTTTTTCAAGAAAACACTAAAGGCGCAGAGTTCATTTAAATGTAATGGCGCAACTTCTATGCCGAATTGCAATTAATCATCAGATCGTTGGTTTTTTCCCCATAAAATTTCGTTCATTCACTTTTTTTTCGTTCTGCGTCTATTTATTATCAGTCGGTGATGATGATGAAAATGTTGGCTTCCGATTGTCATGTTATTTTCAAAAATATATATATTGTTTTTTCCATTTCCTAAAACGTTGACATCATACTCACGTAACTAAGTATGTCAGCCAGTAATCTCATTACAAAACTGTCAATCATTCAGTCAGTAAACTATATATTTCCGTAATTAGCCCCCACGGGCTTGCGTTGATCTACTTGGTAACTATGTAACGTCGTCAAGTGGGTAGTGAGTCGATTTGGGTTTAAAAAAATATGGAAATAAATATTCATAATTTAAATATAAAATTTACAAAAAGTGTGAATACGAATGTGGTATAGTTATTTTGATCCTAAATAATTCGAATTCCAAATTATAACTGTAATATTTAAAAATCGAATTAAAAATCGATTTTTTAAAGATACACATTCCCAAATTAAATAAATTTTATATTTTTCTAGTTTTCTATATAAAATATTAAAATGTAAAGAAATGTTAAATATATTTTTATTTTCTAACTTTTTAAATTCTGTGTTGAAAAATAATTTAATTTAATAATTAATTAATTTAATAATTTTAATAAATTAAAAAAAATACGCAATAGGATAATATTTGAAAGTAATGCCCTTGCGACATTTTTTTGTTAACTGTTTCTGTTATTATGCCTATATATATTAGAGGGAGGGGCTAGATTCATGACCCAGAGTTCACCTAAAAATGTGAAAGTCATTTCCCTATTTTAAGATAAGACTAATAAAAATATATGAAAAAATAAAAAACTCAGTTGAAAAAAACAAATATGGCGTGATCAAAGCTGTCATAGAAATAATATGTGTAATAATGAAATATTCAGACATACATAGTTTCATTAGCAACAATAGAAATTCTCGAAATTAAAGATATGTACCCGGGACTTCCATAACCCTAAACGAGGGTTTTCGGAATATATTTCGAAGCCATAAGCATGGAATCATAAAATATATGTTATTCAATGATTATTCGAGCCATGAATGCAGAATTTATGAAAAACCTGAATTCATGACCATGATTTCAAATCAAAAGTATTTTTTTGAAAAATAAAAGGATTTAAGCGTATTTGAATAATGATTTCCAGGACTACTTGCAATGTTTACAAATATTTTTTGAAACAGTATAGGCTTTGGTTTTTTAAGAAAATAATTTCCAGGAATTTTTAAAATATTTATACCCTACACAACTACGTTGTTAGGGTGTTACAGCTTTGTGCAGCCCCAAGAGTTTGTAACGGCGTGAAGTATTGGTTTTAGACCCCCTTTATGTGAACCAATCGTCATATCTCGACTAGCTGAGTCGATCTAGACATGAGTGTCCGTCTTTCCATTATAATTTGTAAACACGACAAAGGCCACAGTTATGGACCAATCTTCATGAAATTTTGCATGTAGGATGTGTTCTGGCCAATGAAGACCCCTATTGTTATTGGTAAAGATCGGTTAATATTTAGGGAAGACATGGACAAAATATTTAATTTTTGTCGGTTTTTCTAGTCGCTCCAGAGGTCACAATTATGGTCCAAACATCGCGAGATGGGTATCAGGCCAAAGAATAGGCATACCTGTTTTGATAATCTTTATCAAAACACCACTTAAACCCATTACCACACTAGGTGGTGGGAATATAGCGCTGATCGCTTTGAAATTTTCCATCAGGTTCCAGTTACGGTCGCATATAATTTTCGGCGATGATCAGATAAAATTTTTAGGATGATGTGGACTAAAATCTTATTTTTTTGTATTATTTCGAGTCGATCTATAGGCCACAATTATAAGCCGAACATCACAATACAACCCACGGTGAAGGGAAGGATCTGGATAAGTAATTAGAAGGGCTGTACTGAATATTAGTAATATTCGGAAAATATGTCAGTGTAAGGAAGAGGTGCTGTATAGCTCTAATCGGGTGCTAATATCACGAAATGTTGCCCAGGCTTTGGTAGTTGTGTAGGGTATCGTTTATAGCCTATTGGTAGGCCCTAAGGCGTGGAGTTTTTAAACGAATTTTATAGCCTATTGGTAGGCCCTAAGGCGTGGAGTTTTTAAACGAATTTTATAGCCTATTGGTAGGCCCTAAGGCGTGGAGTTTTTAAACGAATTTTATAGCCAATTGGTAGTCCCTAAGGCGTGGATAAAATAAATAATGTGTTTTTAGATAATCCATTAATAGGTGTGGATTTTTTATGGAATATATTTCAAGAGGTACAATAAGTCAGAGCATTTTAATGAATATTTTTACTAGGACTAGATTTAGCGCATATTGGATTTTTTAACAAATATTTCATAATGGAACCCTATTTCCCTAAGGTTTAAGTATAAACTTGGAGCATTTTTTTCAAGTCAATAGAAAATATTAAATAGACTTCTAAGACGAGAAAATATTTCCAGAACATTTTCCATATTAGAAAAAAAAATATATATGTATATACAAATATTTAATTTGCATTAAATAACCATATCGATAATAACGTCTCGTCATATCAAAAACGCATTTGCAGAACAAGTGACGATTTTTTTTCGCATTGGCATGTCGCCTTATTAGAAAATTCTAATGGAAATATATTCAAAAATAAATAAATAATTCAATTAATTGGCCATTATTATCACATCGATTTTTTTTCTCACTCACTTCGGAGGTGATTTTGTATGGAAGGAAGGCCAGGTAAAGATGGTAATTAAAATGTCAAGTGGAAAAAAATTCAAAATCGAATTATTCCCCATAAAAATGCTGATCAAATGGGATGAATACAAATTAAGAGACTGAGAGGGAATTGCATACCGGAGAGGGAATTTTTTAAGAATTTTTATTTTTTTCTACTTACTCGAATCTTCGATGACGAAACGTTTGGCATTCGATGATTTTACATATGATGAAGTGTCCATAGTCCAAAGGTGTGCTGGTTGTGGTGGTATGGGATCACTTTTTAGTTATTTCTGGTATCACACAGTATTCTGTTCTGGATCTTCCTCAATGGAGGCGTTGTTAATGGTTGCACAGTTTAATGTCTTCTAATTGAAATTTTATACTGGGTTGATGGTTTTAAAAGCCAGACTTGGACTACTACTCATGGTGTGTGTGGCTGGCTGTTGGGTGGGGTGGGCAGAGGTGGATGGTAGCACTGCAACAAAAAGAAAACAATATTTGCTTTGGATTAGTTGATGTTGTTGTTATTTTTTCAGATCGTATCAACAAGTGTAATATTGTAAATAATTTGCATCACTAACCTGTAGATGAGATAAGGGATTTAAATCATCTCTTAGAATCATATATACATATATAATAATATTTTTTTAATAAAAAGATGACGTATGGAATTTCTGTGCAATATTAGGGTTTAATAAATATTGAAGAATATTTTAAAAGGGTTACCAAAGGGCCCACCAATAGGCATGGATTTTTAAAGAATATTATTTCAAGGGTTATAAGAGAGGTGGATTTTTAAGAGAAAAATTTTCAAGGGTTATAAGAGGCATGGATTTTTTAAAGAATATTTTTTCAAGCAATACAAGAGGCGTGGATTTGTTAAAGAATATTTTTTCAAGCAATACAAGAGGCGTGGATTTTTTAAAGAATATTTTTTCAAGCAATACAAGAGGCGTGGATTTTTTAAAGAATATTTTTCAAACAATACAAGAGGCGTGGATTTTTTAAAGAATATTTTTTCAAGCAATACAAGAGGCGTGGATTTTTTAAAGAATATTTTTTCAAGGCTTAAAGAAGAGGCGTGGATTTTTTAAAGAATATTTTTTCAAGGCTTAAAGAAGAGGCGTGGATTTTTTAAAGAATATTTTTTCAAGGCTTAAAGAAGAGGCGTTGATTTTTTAAAGAATATTTTTTCAAGGCTTAAAGAAGAGGCGTGGTTTTTTTAAAGAATATTTTTTTAAGTCTTTAAGAAGAGGCGTGGATTTTTTTAAGAATATTTTTTCAAGGCTTAAAGAAGAGGCGTGGATTTTTTAAAGAATATTTTTTCAAGGCTTAAAGAAGAGGCGTAGATTTTTAAAAGAATATTTTTTCAAGGCTTAAAGAAGAGGCGTAGATTTTTTAAAGAATATTTTTTCAAGGCTTAAAGAAGAGGCGTAGATTTTTTAAAGAATATTTTTTCAAGGCTTACAAAAAAGTCCATGGATTTTTTGAAGATTATTTTTTTGTTATTATTTAATCCAATGTGAAGCGGATTATTTATTAATCTACGTTGTTGCCTTGAACACCCATCCTTCTTTGTGAAAAAAATTTAATATATTCAAGAATTTATTTTGGTATCACACTTTTTTTTTGCTCCATATTAAATTTATAAATAATTAATGTAAAACATTTAAAGTAAAAAGCTAATTTAATACAAAATTAAATATGTCATAAACAAGTTTGTTTTATAAAGAATTTAAACACTTTTTTATAAGGAATATTATTTCTGATGCAATTGAGCGGGCAGGTTTCTCTATGACGTTTGGTTTTTTGTGTTCGATAAGGGCCTGGTTTAGTTTGCGGTTTCGGTGTAAAGAAATGGTTTTGAAAATCGATACATATTAAATTGATATTGTATAAATGGTATATTAAGTTTATAATTCCGCATGTAACCCCCTACAAACATTTAACATATATTACTGAAATAAATATGGAAGGATTTAAAAAAAAATCTGGCATTGTGATTTGTTTGAAATAGTTTTTGTGAATAAACCTATATGAGACTTATATGGATAAAGAGCAACAGGTGTTATTAATTCAGACAAAATTGACCAATCTTCTCTCCCCAATCAATAGAACCCATTTCGTCTGTATTTCAAAAACAAATGTTTTTTTTATTCGATTGAAAAACAAAGACCCTACCGACTTAAATAAACAATAACAATTTTTTTATATATTAATAACAAATAAATACGAAAATATTGTAGTTGCTAACCACATTGTGAAAAAAAAACTTTAAATAAAAAATATTGTCTATTAGAGGTACCTGTCTGTAATAATGATTTGTTTTGAAGTAAAAAATCAAATTTTCACAAAAATCACAACAATATTGCCCGCTTATCACTTTCTAATAATCACTGGGACGGGTAAAAAAAAGAAAGTAAAATAAACAACATGATAATTTTGGAATGAGGCGGGAGGAGAACTTATTGGCTGTTAAGTAGACATAAGTATTAATAAACAATTCAAAAATATTGGTATACCCTACATTATACCGTTTTAAATATGTATATAAATATTAAAATTTTATTTCATAAAAAATTAAATAGTATAAAAAAATTACACAGTTATGGACAAACTGTAACGAAATGTTCGGTTCGGGCCAATAAAAATCCCTACAATTTTGGTAATGATAGGTCAATATCTAGGGGATTAATGAACCAAAATCTTTATTTTTATCTGGTCTTCTGTTCGCTCTAGAAATCACAATTGTGACCCGACCAAGGAACAAATATGACCCCTTTTAATGGATGAAAGGGAACCCACACTTTTGTGTGAAAAATGGCAAAATTTGAAAATGGCGGGGTAAAAAGAGTTGAGGCAAATATCACAAAATATTGTCCAGGCTTGCAGAAATTTAAAGTTCAGTGGTAGTTTGTCGGCTATGTCCAACTATACTGATCCGCTCACACACTCAGGTTTTAAAGTGTTTTAAGGGGACCCCCCCATTCTCGGGGTCAAAATTTTTGTTGATATAATTTGAATCTACACTGTTTAAAGAATGTCTCTACAAAATTTCAAGTGAAAATCTCAAGAACTCTTGAAGATATAGCCGATTTATTGTGTCAGCATCAAGTGACGGCTGAAGGGCTTCTCAAACTTTAAACGCGTTTTTCTCTAAACATTTTTTTGCGAATGGCGGGCACGATAACTCAAAAACTAATAATACAATCGGTTATAAATTTTGCAACGTTTCTCTGGGAGTGTATAGCTCTCGTATGAACTAGGATAAAGCCAATCGGTGAAGATCTTCCTTATTTTTTAACTTGGTTTTTGGTCAAAATTCGGCGATTTTTCAAACATATTTTTTCAAAGGTCCGCCATTTTGTTAATTTTAGAGCGAAGTCAATAATCCTAGTTCATACGAGAGCCAGACATGTACTCTTTCTAACACCGTTGGAATTTTCGGATTTCGATGTTCCAGTGAGGAGTTATCATGCCCGCCATCATAAATAAGGACTTTTCTTTAATTACAAAAAACAACAACAAAATTTTTTTGTAAATTATTTTTCTTCTCTTTTAAATCTTCAATTATATATGTGCAAAGTTACAAACCTTAACAAGCGTTTGTATTCATTTACCAGCCCATTGCAAATCTTGGAAAAAATCGAGAATGGGGGGGGGGGGGGTTCCCTTAAGTCTCAAATAATATTTAAAAGTTCTAATCGAAATTATAGTAAAATAGACAAGTGTTTAATTCACTGTCGAAGTTCGATCGGCAGACTCCATAAAGTTCCAAAGGATCTCGAAGTTACACCCGATTTTTCAATAAGGCATGAGGGTATTGCATTATCATCCACGAGGTGAGGGAATTGTAGTTTCGCCACCTTTTTTAGAAATTCAAAATATAGGACCACGTTTAAACATAGCCCCCATATGAGGTTTCGCCACATTTTCTGCAATTGAATGTATTTTCCAAACTATGTGGCTGGCTGTAATTTGGCATTCCAAGTTCTTGGTGTGTAAAAATGTTCTTCGTAGAAGATTGACTGTCTTTTTACTTGTTATAAAAATATTATAGGAAAGTAGCAGAAAGAGTGGACCGATCGAGCTTAATATAGGATTGTTAAAATATTCCGATTTGTAGAGTTTAGATCAAACTAGACTCCTTGGGATTAATACGAGATTTAATTTTCTTCAAAATGTGACCTTTGACCCTTTGTGGAATAGATGAGCCAATTAATGAAAACTCTTTCTAATTACGTTGGAAATTTGTGATTCAGATGTTGCAGTGATCGGTAATCATGCCTGCCGTCGAAAAGAAACAATTTTCTTTAATTACAACAAGACAACAACAAACAACATATTGTCAGTTTATTTTCTTTTTCTTTAACCCTTTGAGTCCCGAATGTTTTACCGTAAGCACAGAACAGGATGTGAACAATATTTGATATCGGCAGATACAGTACATTCTTTCTGAAAAAATAAAAGACCAATATCAAGAAAACCAAAAACTAAATCGACGGAGAACACGAAGCGGTGCAAATAATTTGGACTGCATGCCTAAATTCGTACTGTACATATTATTGCCCTATTCTCTATATCAAAAATTTGATTTTTTTAGATTTTTCTTTTGATATGTATCGTTTATGATCAGGTCTTGACATATGAAACCAAAAGAATATACATATATCTACTAGCTGCATAATTTATAAGCTCCCCTTAAGCCTTCAAATGCATGTAAAAAATATTTGTCTATAACAAGCGTGGATTTTTTTCATGGTCATTACAATAACCGCCAGGGTGACATCTACAACTCAGTATACATGGTTCGTGTCTATGTATCGTACGTCAGTTATTGTCTGAACTTAGATGTAATTTGTCACCATTTTGCTTCATCTCTCATATTTACTCTATTATAGTTATTTTTGTGGAAATATTTTTCTAGGCATAATTTTTAAGCTGTTTTTTGACGTCCTGAAAAATTTTTTTTTTCAAAACAGTTGGTTGAAGGAAGTTGGTGGTTTATATTAGGAACAACTTTTTGGGCCCATCCCAAGTGTTGATTTGTTAAAAATATTTGTCAAGGTCGAACAGAGGAAGATATTTAATTGGCGTGGATTTAAAAAAAAAATAATAACCCTTTGTGGCTCAATGTTGCCCACAGTCAACAAAATGTTTCAGAGCTTATATTTAAAATGCAGCTAATAGATATATAATATTTGGATATTATATGTCAAGACTTGATTATAGACGACACAAA